CATATTAAGTTAACTAAATTTTATAAACAACAACCACAAGGTCGCTACATACCAAAACAAACGCAATGTTATAAAAAAGTTTCGAATAAAGCATGACGAATAATATAGAACCTTTTTGCTAACACTTTTGATGATAAATGGAACAGTTTTTTTTTTATCAATTCAACAAATTCGTCACCTCTATTCATCGCTTTTATCTCAATAGTCACAGTGGTTGGTGTCTAAAATAGCTATGAACTAGTTCTTTCCTGCAAAAACGCTTGTGTTAATTATCAAAAGAAAAACTTTGATAAAAAGTAGCCTATGTGCTATTCCAGACTTTAACCTAGCTCTGTTTTAAATTTCATTCTGGCTGAATTGAGTAACGAACATTCATACACTAATTCTTACACATTTTAAATGTAAATAAATCTTTTTAGATATTTTTACAAGTCGGACTTTATTGCTAGAAGGAGCCGTCATTTCCTAAGACTCACTCTGAGAAGAAACGCCGAAACAAAACCACAGAGGTGTCTTTTTTTTTTAAGTCCGTAAACAAAGTTAAATAAAACTGTGCGAGTATAGTATAGGGTCTGGGTAGGCCTTTCGAGGAAAGGACCATAGTTTTGAGTCAGCCTGTCCATACAGACGGCATACAGGCTCCAGCCATCGTGTAGCCTAACCGATATTGGTCAAGATCAACGACCCGAAGCATGACAGTTACGCCAGCAGGACATTTGGGTAGGCCGTGTAAACACTCAAAACCACCAGAGAGATACTAAAATATGAATAAACATTACAAGCCTACACTATACTCACATTTACATACTTACACAAAAAAAAACACTATACGATTCAAATTCAACGAAAAATAAACACTTTTTAAACAAACAAAATACGAAATACACCAAAATAATAAAAATAATAATAATAATTAAATGTCCATCACTTTCAAACTTAATAAAAAAGATGTCTACGTAAATGTGGGCGTGAGTAGCATCAAATTTGTCGTCGAAATAATCTGTAATAGTGTAGTAAGCCTTTTCACACAGTGTTAGCTTTACTAAAGACTTAAATTTTATTGTAAAATCGCACACCCTGACAACGAAAAGACTTGCGTACTTTTTGTAGTCTAGTGGTTGGTAACACGAGTTTATCTTTATTTCTAGTGTTTATTTTATGTGTCGCTAAACTTTGTGAATAAATGATTATTTTTCTTTACATACACTAAATTTTCATATATGTATTGAGATGCGACTGTCATGATACCAATTTCTTTAAACTTATCCCTCAGTGACTGCCTATAACTGAGATTATAAATTGCACGAATAGCTCTCTTTTGCAACACAAAGATACTTTGAATGTCAGCAGCATTTCCCCACAACAAAATACCGCATTGATGGATTGTTGAATGGACAAACACTAGAAATAAAGATAAACTCGTGTTACCAACCAATAGAATATAAAAAGTAAGCAAGTCTTTCCGATGAGGGTCAATAAAATTCCAAGCAAATTACATGAATAAAACACCTTAGTAAAACAAAAACTATGTGAAGAGGCTTACTACACGATTACAGATTATTTAGATGACAATGCTTGGGATTGATGCCCCTGAACCAATACTGTACACGCATAGTTTTCTTTAACATTTAATTATAAAATTAATGATATTTATTTCTGTAAGTAAATATTTTCAGATATTTTTACAAGTCGGACTTTACAGCTAAAGGCACTGGCATTTTCTAATGCCTCATTTACATGCTTGCCGAGGCTCGGCAAACGTTCACAGTTCCGAGCCTTCACAAACGCTTGGGTGTCATTTACACGCTTGCGAGTGGTCATTGTGTTTCGGACAGGCAAACATGGCAGACGTGGACGTTGAAGTCGTGTCGGCTAATACGTTTGGTTTGACATATTTTTATTTAAAATATAAACAAAAAAGAAGAAAACTTTCTGCAGACATGGTTGATGGATATATATATATATATAAAATACGCCATTGACATTAAATTCCTTAATGTTAGATAAAATCATGAACGTCCAAGACTTTCTAATATGTTATTCTTTTTAACTCCACTTAATATTATTTACATATATATATATTCTTTGTACCCCTTTTTAACTAAATGTGGTTTAATTCCGTAATAGTCACGAAACTTAATGTTTACAGAGCTTAGTCCGTCTAATGGTCGCCTACTGAAGGGTGGTCGCGAGACCGGCACACCTACCCTATGTATTATGACTTCCAAGTGATCTAACGTCAGTCCAAGTGCTATATCTGCGTAGACGAGTGATTTTATATATCCAAGGGAAGTTAGTGGGCTTTCCGAATAGTTGCAGGATTCATAACAGGACACCTAGGCCTGAACCGACAACTATTCATAATTAATGCGACTTACAGTCCTCTTTGCAGAGGATGCCTGAAAGCAGAAGAAACGATCGCCCACGCAATCCTGGAATGCGAGGGAGTGGCCACACAACGGGCAAGTGCCACACCTGGTACTAAATCGCTCCTAGAAGCCTGTGAAGACCCCAAGAGGCTTCTGGAAGGAGCTTGGTTGGCTCACCTAGCCAACTCTTCTAGACGCATAAAGGACCACTCTCGAGTATAAATGCGGAAATCGAAGCCCAGAACCAATACCAATAGTGGGCTGTTTAAATAAATGAAGTATATTCTAAAGACCATCAATATGAGAGCAGAGCGGGTGTTGTCTTCAGCGACAGTCATGACACCATTAAAAAAAAAAGCCTTTTGATAGTGTGCCCTTACCTCTTGCCTAATATTTGTTTTTATTTTTATACGCGATTTTGTATTCATTCAGTGAGGTCTATTTTATCTGTAAATTGACATCAATAAATAGGTAAAGTTTTATCAGCTATCCTCTCCTGCCACTTATTGGCGTTTTGTTGGGATTACAGCCATTACAGCCAGTTTCATAAAAGTATACTGTACATTTGTAGGTATATCTATACTAATATTATAAAGCTGAAGAGTTTGTTTGTTTGTTTGTTTGAACGCGCTAATCTCAGGAACTACTGGTCCGATTTAAAAAATTCTTTCAGTGTTAGATAGCCCATTTATCGAGGAAGGCTATAGGCTATATATCATCATGCTAAGACCAATAGGAGCAAAGCACCAATGAAGAATGTTTCAAAAACGGAGAAAATTTATTACTATTGAGAGACGCAGACGAAGTTGCGCGGGTCAGCTAGTATTATAAATAACTAGCTGACTCGCGCAACTTCGTCTGCGTCTTTTAAAAGGATTTAATTTTCCCCGTTTTTGCAACATTCTTCATTGGTGCTCCGCTCCTATTGCTCTTAGCGTGATGATATATAGCCTATAGCCTTCCTCGATAAATGGGCTATCTAACACTGAAAGAATTTTTCAAATCGGACCAGTAGTTCCTGAGATTAGCGCGTTCAAACAAACAAACAAACAAACAAACAAACAAACTCTTCAGCTTTATAATATTATAGTATAGATTCACGAATCGAGCATTGAGAAATTATACCTCCATGATTGATTACGTACTTTAAATAAAGACTATATTTTTATGATTTATTTACAAATGTATAGTTTTCAGATTTTCCCTATATATAACAATGTTACTTGCCAAATTTCAGAGTTACAGGTCAACGGGAAGTAGCCTTTTTTTTTTTCCGTGCGGAAATCCCCTCGGACACCACCTATCGGTGGCATGTCGGACTCGAACCGACTAAAACCGCACGCCGTCTCGGGTACTAATAGCCGGGGAACCAGGTATACCCTAGAAAGGAAGTCCCTGGTCCAACGGGAAGTACCCTATTAATTTTGATTCCCTTGAGTGTCGAAATATGCGTTTTCCGCCGTGTCTTTTTTTTACTTTAACTTAGGAGTTTGATTACGAGTATTTTACAGCTTCAAGTAGACCTGAGTATATGGTTTTAATTTTGGGTCCATATTTTGTTTTTTAATTACGACTCACCGGCACAACACAGGCGTGTGGAAAATAACGTACAGTTTCGATTTTCGATGGTCACACAAGACAAAGATATACATAACACATCACATCAACAGCCTTTAATAGTCTACTGCTGGACATAGGCCTCTCTTTAGAAAAGAGATTTATACGTATACATATAATCGATGTCAAAGAAAAATTGTGACTGATAAACATACTTATATATTTTTAAATACATATTATAGATAAATTACACCTAGACACAGAACAATTCATCGTGCTCATCACGCAATTATTTGTCCTGGGTGGGAATCGAACCCACGACCTCCGGCTTAGCAGTCAGGGTCACTAACCACTAGACCAACACTGACTTTCTTATATGTTTCACTGAGTTTTAAGTACCTACTTGTTGTGTGTAGGTATAAATTTATTCAATTATATACCTAAATGTTCAATGCCATGTTTTAATACAAAGTAGAGAGCGCTTGGCGGTCGAATTTCGACCCTTTTAAATGGTTTGGTTTTAATGGAAAAAAATGGGCATGTCTTTCCTCAAGAATCAAACTATCTCCATTTATCTAAATCGGTTACGCGGTTATTGATTCCCCATACAAGCTTTCCCACCCTTAAAGGATGATTTCTAGTATAAAAAAACGAGCAGACGGGTCACCTGATGGTAAGCAACTACCGCCCTTGGACACCTGCAACTCAAAAGTCACAGGTGCGTTGCTGCCCTTTGAGTCCCTCCCGCTCGAGTCAGCCGGAGGGGGGATGTGGGCTCCGGTAACCTCACTCACTCTTGTCCTTTCCCGAGACCCAAATTATCTTTAGTCCAAATTTCATTCAAATCGGTTCAGTGGTTTAAGCATGAGGAGGTAACAGACAGACAGACACATTTTCGCATTTATAATATTACTAGTATGGATAATTCTAATTTACCAGTATAATTTGAACTGCCAGTTTCTAATACATGAATTTAGATATACTTAAATTACTTATCCATGTACTTATGACATAATCATTTAACACATTTAATGAGTTGTATACAAAGTATTGTAATTGAAATGATCAACTCACTTGCTATAAGGTTAGCCATAGTTCCTGAGGGCACGAACAAGGCCGCCTGCTTCCCCAGCAGCGCTGCCACTTTGGTTTCCAATGCATTCACTGTGGGGTCTTCTCCAAAAACGTCGTCACCCAATGCGGAGTTCACCATAGCATGCTTCATAGCTTCGGTAGGTTTTGTAACCGTATCGGATCGCATGTCTACGATATACGCCATGATTCAGAACAAATTATACTGTATTACAATTACTTTAAAAAAATAACCTAAACAGCGACCGATCGGACTGAACGCCGGCAGTAGATTAGAATAATAAAGTCAAGGATCTATCGTAACTCAATATTTCTGATTGAGAATTAACTCATTTTCACTTGCTTTAGCGCCGTCGATGAATTTATCAACATGCCAGCCTTGAACTACGATATCGGGAGATAATTTATAATATTATATACTGTACATTATCTTGTTTATAATAAAGTTGTTTTTATAGTTATATTGGAGTCGTTCCGATTTGATAAGAAAATAATCTAGAATTCAGCAAAATACACCTTGGTGCTATGTCATAACAACTACTTTTCCATAAATTAAACTTGATAATTGTGTTTTTGACTTTAGTGACAGTAATTCAGTTTAGTGTTGCCACGTAGTATCAAGATATATCTCAGATGAAATAAAAAAGTTAAGATGGTTACCACAGATACCTATAATTAAGCGTAGAAGCCAATTTTTTACGTGAAATAAAATTATGATGGCCCACGCACACATGTTTATAAAACAGCCTCACTTCTTTCTTCTCAAAATTCCATCTTGACTTTTTTCTTTGATCTGAGAGAAATACCAAATGTACTCAAACTATTAAAAAAACTCAGTACACTTTTTTTATCGTTTCTTGCAGAAACGAAAAATAAGGGTACTGAGTTTTTTTTGGACCTAATTGTAAAGTAAGTGATGTGATTATGTAAATAGGCCTATTTTACTTACTTTATGGCAACACTAAACTCAAAAAAAAACCCTCCTTATTCAATAACGAGTTTTTTTATTTAATAAGGAGGATTTCTTATTAAATATTTCAGACATCTCAAAACAATTTCAGATACCGAAACACTTGTAAGTTTTCTCTATCAGACAGGTAAATATTAGTAAGCCCACCTTGAGAGATATAACCAGTGATTCTTAATATTGTACTCGTAATTAAAAATCCTTAAGTAAAATCTTCATTACAATCTAAGTGTTTAATATGTTAAAGACTTAAAAAAAAACATATTAAGGTAAACTATAACTAAATGTAAGGCTACCAAGAATAGGTCTAATTTGTCTTGTAATCCATATATATTTTAAACTTATAGAAAACTTGTAACTCTGTTAAGATTCGTTATTTTCAAAACTTGAAAAACTTGAATTTGGAAACAGTTTTCAGTGCAGTTCTCAAAAAAGTGATGTGAGTGAGAGTAAACCTGAGACGTAGACAAAACTATTGAGAGAAGCAGTAAGAAGATTGACGTCCCATAGAGGTAAACATCACAGTCAATGGTAGAATTAATAAAAAGGAACGTATAGCCATAGTGTAAGTATATTCACAGTAGAGTGAAATAAGTACATAAAAAATCATCAACAGCCTTAAGGAGTCCGCAACGTTTGACGCTGTTAATTATGTCAGACATACTAATTTCTTGGTAGACTAATATATTGGGTACCATATACCAAGTAAAAATTGTGCTGGTACGCAATAACACCAACTTTCTCCATTGATCATACATGACAAAAAACTTGTATGTAATGATATGTGGCGCTGTACATCACTACGCGTATTGCACGTCACTACGCCATTGGCCAGCGTTACATCACTCTCCGACTTGATGACCTCCCACCTCCTGTATTAGCTCCAGGAGCTGTAGCGTCACCTCAGACGCCTACTGTAGACCAGCCTAGTCGCGCTCCCCCTGATACAACAAGAAACCCTGCTGGCACGGTGATGTGGCGTTGTACATCAGTGATGTAACATTAGCATCGACCGTAGTGACGTGAAACGCCATAGTGTTTCAGATCCGTTTCACTTAATGATGGTTTTGAGGAGCTTTGTAAATTTACTCATATTATTTCATAGCTATAACTAAAAGATTTCTAATTTATTTTGCCCAGGTACAAAAACATAGTAACTGATGTAATGAACAGCTAAATCATACATTTATGTTGTATTATTCAGGGACTTACTATACTATACTTTTACTTAGTGCTAAAATAGAGATTTACTTTTTAGAGTTTTTTAGAGTTATGTTCTCAATAACTTTTCAATGGTCAAATTATGAATATCTTGTAAAATTTTGTGTTTAAGTAGGAATTAAAAGCAGGTTTTCTATTCTTCATTAAAAGTTTCATCGTATATTCAAACATCTGTACAAAAGTGAACGCATCCATAAGCTGTTTTCTGTTACATTATGTTAGACAGCTGACAAAAAAGTGATAGTCATTGGTTAATAATTCACACTGTTGCCAACAAAGACAAAATCTGCCAATAGGAGTAGATACAAAATAACGGTCAACACATTATTCGCGTAACTGAAATCACACCTTAACGACAAGAAAGAAGTGTCGGCGAAAAGTCGTTAGCTTATTTTAGTTGTTTTTAATTACAAAAGCGCAATTTACCAGGTTATTTGTAGCATTAAAATGTATTATTAAGGTACATTATGCACTTAATATAAAAATTAAGTTTATAATTAAGTAAATCAACGAAAATCTGTGTTCTTATTTCGGCTGAAATCAACGTGAATCGGGCGTCGACCGGTCCATCCCTCCTACCCGTAACCGTCGCCGACTTGCTGTCAGTCGCTATCGTCATTTTGTACGTATCAGCGCCGTGCGCGGACACGGCTAACGCGAGGTAACAGAACAACGCCGTGTGTAAAGCAATAAGCAGGGACGTGTGTTGTGGTGTGTCGGTCTGAGTGACCGTTTAATGTGGTATCTAGTGGCGGTGTTGAGTTATCGTACGGGCCGCGCGGCGTGATTGAGCGGCGCGATGGTGGACATGGACAGGAATGATCCGGAACTCCGGTACTTATCGGTGGATAGGAACAGCTTCAATGACCCAGCGACACAGGCAGAATGGACCCAGAAGAGGCTTGTATGGGTGCCCCACGAAACCCAAGGGTTCGTGGCGGCTGGGATCAAGGGAGAGCGGGGGGATGAAGTTGAGGTTGAGATAGCAGAATCAGGGAAAAGAATGTTGGTCCCTATAGATGATATACAAAAGATGAATCCACCCAAATTTGACAAAGTCGAGGATATGGCAGAGTTGACATGTTTGAATGAGGCATCTGTGCTGCACAATATCAAAGACAGATACTACTCTGGATTGATTTATGTAAGTATCAAATCTTCTAAATTCTATGTCAAATGCTAAGCTAAGTTTTTCTTGTGTCTAGATAGCCATGTTTTCTATTATTTTGTACCTACTCTCAATTTCAAAGACATTACTGGGTATTTAGGGTAATTCATTCATTGAGAGTCTTCTGCTGTTAATAGTCTGTTATCTTATTGGCAAACACCTTATCAATCTTACATTAAAATATTACTTATTATTATTTCTGTTAGAGCATTAATTATAAGTTAATCTATATGTTACTTGAAATCTTAATGAACAATAATTATTTCTGAGTACAATGTGAACACACTAACAGAAATTACAATAAGCCAATATAAATTAATCACACCTGAACACATTTTAATACTATAGACAATCCTATACATGTTTAATTTTTCCTATGTGTTATACCTAAACTAAATCTATTATTAGATATCTAATACAATAATTATCTTTTTATTAATACAGTTTACAATTGAGAAACATTATACACAATAAGTCTAATATGTGAGTTTTAAAACTTTTAATAAAAATTTGAAGACTTTACTGAGGTTATGAATCATACTTACGTAAATATGTATGAGGTCATGCTTGTACAAACTTTAAGTTAACGAATTAAGGCTTGGTTATGTTTGGTAGTAAATTCTTTTCTTATTGATTTTAACAGATATCGGTAATTGTTTCAAAACACATTGATTTAATTCAAAATTCTTATACAATACTAGTAATAATATCAACTGAATGGTGAATGAATTTCATGCTTAACTTTTCAAATAGTAACGTCCAAAATTACTCATATTTATCATGAACAAAGAATTTCCAATTAGTTGTAAAATAAACGGATGTTTTTTTAAGAAGACCTTAAATAGAGTTTTTTTTTTAATAGTTTAATGTCAATACTTACATTTTGTTACTAACTAGCTGGTTTGGTGATTGGATTTTGCCTACATGAGATAGTCCGTTTGTTTAGCTTTGTCAAGCTCATAGTTCATTACAGAAATAGAAACAGAGATAAGAATAGACTCGAAAAGAAACCCAACTGTTTCAGTTATTTTATATTTTATTAAATCTACATTTTTGTTTCCAAGCTTAAATTTGCAAACGTCTGTCACTACTTAGCTTCTACGTGTCACAGTATTATGATACCTACTCAAAACAGATACGTCTTGAAATTATAGTCTTCAAAGAAACCTAGAGATTTGGTATAAATATATATATATAGAAAATCTTAATCTCAGTAGATTCCCATATGAAAATAAAATGTCTTATCTATTTCAAGGATTTAAAAATGAGATTAAGGAAAAAAAAAACAATTGTTATCTACAGACAATTAACATGTTATGCCATCTAGATAAAACAATACCCAGTAACTTCCATAACTTCTATATCTAAAACCGTATTTAATGACTTCATAATCACTTACATTATTTATACATTATTAATACTTTTATAACTTTTGTACTCATTACTGTTAGTTATCTTCTGTGGTTTCTTATCCTAATGTTCTTTTAATTATTAAGGACTTCACTGCAGCAAACTGAATATTTATTATCTTGGTGATGTAACTCTGTTGAAAATAACATTTTAATCATTATGGTACTTTCGTCTTTTTTGAGAAAGATGCTAAAGACAATTTTAAGACCTTTTTTTTTTCACAATTTTTTTATGCCAATGGTAACCAGAATAAGTTTCTTGACTATAGATAAAATGCTGTTCTTTTATATTCAGATCTTTAGTTAAGGGAGTAATTAGCTATTGTAGAAGACAGAAAATAACAATATTTAAAACTTTAAGGATTTCATACTTTTTAACTTTAATTAGTTTAAAGTTAAACCTATAGGTATATAATGAATTTATCAATGTTATATACATGTATATCATTGTCATTAGACCACACCTTAAATTATTATAGGTTTGGTTATTATTTTGATTTGTAATAAACTAGATATGCTATAAAATCGTACACATTTTCAAATAATAGTTAACTAACAAGTTAAATTAACAGGTTATTAAATCTTTGTCAATATTTTCCCCTTATGTGTTTGTTAACAAATAACGGGAAAATAATAATTCTTGGCAGAATCTGTTGATAGTATATAATGAATTTAATTTAGGTACTGAGTTAGTATTGTATTCTTAATTAACAAGGTAAAACTTTGCCAAACTTATTGGAATATTGTACATATCAATAAATTGTACATCAAATTAAAATGGAGTAAATCCTTTTAACTTATGTATGTAAATGATTTTTATGCATTGCTGCCTGGAAAACAAATATTAAAATCTATTTATGATTAGTCAGAAAAATTATTAGCATGAGATGTGTGAATCTACTAAGTTATTAAGACTGCATGGATGGAGTAGTAGTTTATGAGGTTGCCACGCTGCCTTCTACAACACTAAGTGTCGTGGGTTCAAATCAATTTAATTCCACATAGGGCGACACTTTGTGTGATCACAAATTCCACAAATTCTTCTGAGTCTGGAGTTCTTTGTGTCCCCAAACATGTTTGTAAAGTCCCCTGCGACACAGGATATATTCGGGTCTTTTTTTTTTAAACAAAGGATAAAAAAAGTTACCCTGAAAAATTAATTAGCAAACTATGAACAAAGCAGGAGGCAAAAGCCATTTATAACATATAATAGATCTGCAGTATAGGTATTTCTGTGCAGTGCAGCAGGATAATTTACAATAAATGTATTATGATATAGAGCAGGTGACGTCAGCTTTATAATTCAATGTGTGACAGATAATTTCCAGGAATAGATTGTGTTATCAGTAAATACCTGATATATTTATAGAAGTATGCCATTTCTGATACGAAGTGATTTCATTTAAGCATGTCTTATTTTTTTTTTGTTAAATGTAAGCCATCAAACAAGGACTCACCCATCCAATTGCAAATTGTTTTTATAGCCTTTTTCAAAAAAACAGTGCTACAGTCATTCACCATCCTTCCTTATTATCCGAGTTGTTATACATTTTTAAAATTACTTTGATAAGCTTGTAGGTTTATTGGTTAGACATCTTGACTACTAGGCTAGAGGTTGTGGGTTCTATTCCCATTGTGTAATGAGCATGATCATTAGTGCAGTGACTGGATATAATCTGTCTGAAATATGTATGTATTCATGAATATATAATAACATCAACAGCTTCTAATAGTCCACTACTGGACACAGCCCCCTCCTTAGAACGGAGGTTATGCCCTATTATACCATGCTGGCTAGGCAGGTTGGTATAGAATAAGTTCATATACTTAATACAAAATAAGTTTATTTCTAAATATACTAGGCCTGATTGAAAGGAATATGTTTGCCGTCAAGGTACCCATCAAACGGTTGGCATTTTATACACCTCTTCAGTGATAAAGAGGTGAATATAATATGTGCACATGTACATATTATATTCATTTCTTTATCGGATATTGTTTTGAATCATAAAATATAAAATTAACCTTCTCTTCATGTAAAGTAGTAGTACAATACTACTAATATACAATACTATAAAGAAGTTGTTTTTATTTACACTTTATGCACAAAGGCAGACTTAATGCTGCAGGCATTTTCTCCCAGTCAACCTTAGGGTGATGCAGAGCTAAAACATGGTAGATGCACAAAAGTAATTAAAAATGTGATTTTATGAAAAATATACCATATATAGAATATCATATACTCAGAGTACTTATATTAATTAAATTACAATAATTTTTAATAAATAATACATATACAATAAGTAATAATGATAGTAACACACAAAATACATAAGTATTTATATATACAGTTATACATATGTACATATAATTATATTAAATATATATACACACAAAGTAAATTCCAAAAGAGAAAGTAAAAAAGAAAAAGATTTATCTGATAAGGAGTTTAATAAATGTTTTCGCAACAATTTAACCCTCACATATGGCCACATAATTTATACTAAAAGTATGACCATATGGTTTGCCATCCATTACAGTATATGTACCATTACTTATGAAAGCATAAAGCTTATGACACATTATAGTAATCCTAATATGTACAGGTCACACAACTGGCAGTCTTACCTTTTTAGACAGAATTTATAGACTCAAATATGGGACTAGTTATTGCGTGTGGCTTCGCTTGCGTGATTAACTCCTCATGTGCCGCTACACTGTACAGTCCTTTCATCGGTAAGCACTGTCCAGTGTACCGGTGTTTTTACTTAGAAAATGACAAACTTCCATACAACCGTTTGTCTCTTATTTTACCCCTAACCATAAAAATTCAAAAAATCCTTTCTTATTGGGTGCTTACAATATAAAAGGCTTCAGTTGCCAAGCTTTCTAGTTAGTAGCCCCAGTGGTTTAGGCTCTACATTGATGAGTCAATCAGTCAAGGCAAGTTTGTATGTATAAATGAACTTAACGTTACCTACATTGATGTTTGTGAGAAATATTAAAATAATTTTTCAAGTTAATTGTTGAAGATGAACATAAGTATTGATTGCCTTGGCCTGGTTTATGAAGTGGAATTCTTTTTGTAATGAATGTGGTGTCTGAATTCTGCCATTATTTATTTTCCAAAGGTCATTGTTAATTGTGAGTTTGATTTGAATTCCTATGTAATTATACCATGAAGATTGGAATAGTTTTATAAAGTACACAGCTATCCTAGTAAAGTCAACACTGACTTCTGCACACTCTTTGTTTCTTCGATTGTAATAATTGGATGTATAAAATAATGTAAGACATGGAATCTGACAATTTTTTACATTTTTTTGAAGATCTGGATGTACTCACTGCCCTTTGTTTCGATTGTATAGAGTGTGAGTGAGATATATTATATTATACATGAAACTGACACAAAGAACACCCAGACTCAGAACAACAATTTGTGGATCACACAAAGTGGTGTCCCATGTGGATCACACAAAGTGTTGTCCCATCGGACCCACAACACTCAGCGCAGTAGTGATCGGCGTGGCGACCGCTTAAACCACTACTCCATCCGTGCAGTCGACA